AGGGGGGCTGAATTGAGAGAACACGGGTTCCCACTGCTTTTTCCTCGCCATCACTTCCCAGGAAGGCGGCCTGTAGCCCGATGGCGCGAGGAATGCCGCCGCCCTCCCTGGCTGCGCCGGAAGGTAAGGAGTAATTCCCGGTGAACGGGGCAACTTCGGTTGCCTTTATTGCAAATAAATAATCCACCATTTACCGCCTTATTGTGGCCAGCCGGCCGGACCCGGACTCCTCAACAACCTGACCGTCTCGTCGTTTCCGCTCCCTATCGATGCCAGATCGCAGCACCTGTGACTCGCCTCATCGTCTCCTAATTGGACTGCATTTTGCAATTTGGAACTATAAACTAAATTAAGAACTAAGAACTATTCTGGCTCTTCTGGAAAACGACTTATGTACATAAGGGAACTAATGGCACATACGTCGTTTTTAAACCGGGATAGAATTTATAGTTCCAAATTGCAAAATGTAGTCCAATTAGCGATGAGGATTTTTTTGCAATAATCGATCGGTCGAATCGATTCGATTCTCTTTGAGAATCCGATTCAATTTATTTAAATCGTAACAAAAAAATGAATTTTCGAAAAAATCGCAAGAAATCGGAAATGATGAAGGCTCAAAATTCACACTCTGTAAAAGAAAAAAGAACGAAAACAATCTTTCGGGAAGTTTGTCGAAATCTTGGCCCCATAATATGCTCACGTGCCGATTTAACACATTTGGGCAGCAAAAATTGGAATTGTTAATTTAGAGGGAAAAAATCGATCTACACGATTGATTGAACCCAGTGAAATCGATGCGATGCCAGATGTGAGGGTATGCAGAGGTAAAATACTGCTCTTCAGCAGGAAGACCTCTTTTCTTTATCCTTACTAGAGGGATATTTATGACGTCAAGCTATTTTTCTGTCATTTTAATCCAACCCCTGCTTGGTAACACCTTCGCAAAAATGTATTTCACGTCTCGTTTCCGTGTTCCCTAATAGCACTGGCTGATCTGAAAATTTAATACAACTCAAGAATTTAGAGGAGAAACCTCATAAAAATGTGCTAAAATATCCGAGTTAGGAGACCCGCCATGTTTTTCCTTGCGTAACAATGCCACTTTAAGATTTTACAATATTTGTATCACTTTGTTCTATTAAATTCTGACAAATTATTTTTCAGAATTTTTTGGTTTTTTATGATGCGTATTTTGCAGTTTCTTTTGTGTGTTACGATTAGTATGTGGGATTTTTAAAATTTGAAAAATGTTGACGCTAATTATTTTTCATAATTTTTTTACACGTAAATGTCACATGTAAATTGCCAAAACGAGATGATCAGAGGCTTCCTAATTCGGAAATTTCAACGATTTATTTTTTAATAGTTCAAATTAAACAGCCAGTGCTACTAGGGTTCTCGAAACTTGAAGAGGTTCGTATAACTGTGGTTTGCGATACATTGAAACAAAGACACGTTCTGTGTATCCATACGTTCTTTATGGGCAAAATTTAACACTATTGCCCTTAAATAATCCAACAGCCTAAACTAACATGAAATAATTTGGAATCAGGCTTCATTGAAATACTGCACCCGTTTTGCAAAATTGACACCATAAAGAATCGAAGAGCTGGAGAGAAGAGGGCGAACTGAGTTTTAAGAGCCTGTTCCGATCATAAAGACCTGCGATCTTAGCCTTAAAATTAGAACATGACACCAACCACAGTTATCCCCATTCAGGAATCATTATGATGAATCACTATAACGATTGATCTGACAAAAGGGAGGTGCCAATTTTGAGCGGAAGAATACATTTTCACCCAGGCTATCTTTAAAAAAAGAAACAGCTCGTTTTTTTCAACTAATTTACATATTCGATGAGAACGAAGATAAATATCAGTGGCTATACTGGTGACATTTTAATTTGGCTTTGTGCCACCAAAAAGGGGAAGATGTCTGTGCCTGTGCGCATACATACAAAATGGAATATTAGCCCTGGCCGGGCCCGCCAACGATCCCTATTTTCCTTATTTTTTCTTCACAAAATTGGATTCGTAAGAGTGAGCGTGCTTCACCATATCCTCGCAACTCGCAGCCGATTTAAAAGAATCTCCATTTTGTCACTTTGCAAGAAAAATGACGCGAATCTATTTACTCGTGAGCCCTACGTAACACGGAGTTAAACGCACAATAGGGTTCTTCTTAAATCGCGGTTACGTCTTTTTACTGACAGGACAACGTTCCGCCCGATATTAAAACATGAATAATAAGGGCGAATTCGGACAATCGTCCCGGTTATTCATGTCTCTTCCGCTAGCGATCAGGAACAAGACCTCTCGTACACTGACTCGGTTTATGTTGGTGGATAGTTTCGTTTGTATGTATGATTTTATTATTGCAGCATAAAAATGTGACAATGCTGGAGTGAAAACAACCGACNGGGGGGGGGGGGGGGGGAGAGAGAAGAAGCGGGCAAAAAGAATTCATTCCAATTTGAGTCGTATCGCCAAACTGTGGAATGAAGTCGAGCGGGGTTTAAAATTTGAAATGGAGCTACGTGAGAGCTCAGTCTGGCGGCTCAGCGCACATATTGTAGTAATTAGCGAAGCGGAATCCAAATTATAGCGTAATAAAAAGAAGCCAAATTGCAATATATACGCTCTTCTAGACTCCGCTGCTCTCGTGGCTGAGGAAAAAATTACATGAGATATAAACTTCACCATTCAAGTGAATATCGTGTACCGCTGAATTTATGGGTTATGACCTGACGATGATGAGACCATCATTTGCTTCAATTTATTTTTAAAAGCGTTTTCCGTTCTTAATTTCCAATTGCTTAGAGGAATTTTGGAGTTTTTATTGCAATGACTGCCACGAATTCCACTTACCGGCGCGGGGTGGGTTTATACCATTAAATTGTTAAGTTCAAAGTTCAAAGTCAGTAGATAGTTACAGTACTAAGCGAGATATTGCTGTCACCTTTGATTCTCTAAAACTGAAGAATAATTTTGAGAGGCTTCGATGATAAGATATAAGATACCTGTAGCGGAGTTTTAAATTTTGAAGACACAGATTGAACTTACACGGAGTATGGAGGGTGCGCACATCGGCACTTCGCCTTTGGTTTTTGAGGTAGGCCGAAAAACATCCTCCGTGTAGCAGTAGTTATCTTATTGAGGATTTTTATTTAGTGTCGCCTACAAGCCTATTGTTTTGTTGTAAATTAAGTTCCACCCCAACCTGCCAATGGTGATACTAGTTTTGTTCTTCTATTAAACTCCGTCATCGATGATAAATAAGTAATACAACATGCGTAACTTCGATGAAAACTAAAAATAATTAAACTGAAACTAAAAATGTTTCAGTATACTTTTTAACTGATGTTTAACTTACTCACAAAAATTACAGGGAAGCAGTGCTTCACTAACGCACATGTAGAAAACACCGCACTGTTTCATAGTAAGTATTAATAGCGATGATATGCATGAATAATTAAGCACGACAGCTAGCAAATTAGAGATCCGCGAAGGAAATAAAATAAATCATGCATGATGTATATTTTTTAAAAAAGGGGGATGATAATAGATGGTTGAAAAAAGGAAAAAAAATTATTATTATATTAAGAGATGTCGAGTATTATGTATAGAGAATAAACTTACATTCCTCGGCTTTTTGAGAATCGACTGCTTTTGATAGGCTAATAATTGTGAATTTGCCATTGACGTTCACAATCATATCCTGAAAAAACAGAGCGAAACCATATTTTAAAACATTTGAAATAAATTTCGAACCAAGCTGAAACAAAATATTGAAGAAGTAGCAACATCATTTCGAGAGGGGGAAGGGAGAGGAAAGAAGAAACAATGAAAAAAATAAGAACAGCAGAGATGTTATTAAAAACAAAGAAAAATTATTAAACCTCCGAATATTCATAAAATCCCTAATCATAACCAAGAACTTTTACTTAGAAACCTTTGCGGAGAAAGTATACATCGCAGAATGATCCTCCTGTTAACTTCAAAAGTTCATTATAAACCGTAAGTTTACGATTGTAATGCGGTTAGCGGAGGCTACCTTGAAATATCAAAGTTGGGGCCCTTCTGAAGTTACTAGACTTGACGTTAGATACGTTCTCCCAAAACAAAGAGATGAAAAATATGGCGCGTAGAAACGTACAAAGAAGCGCCATAAACTTAACAGTGGCCACGCAAGCTCATAAATGTATATTTTGTAAGACCAAAATGCATTGTGGCGGAACAACACTCGAGCAGGTAATGACGGTGCTTTAAATTCGGAGCAACAAATCCCTCTCTCCTGGAGCTCACGAGAAGGGATGCGAATGCGATGCGAGATATGACGCCGACACTCCTGCGCCCTGATACCGTGCTACGGAACAACCCCGTATAAGCCCTCAGATGAAAGACATGTTTTCTGGGAAAAGTGAGGCATTAGGTGCAGAAAAGACACTTCTCGATTGCGGTGTCTCAGCATCTTCACTGTTACTTAATTGGACCGCGTTAAGCAGTGAGAAGCCAAGCCACATTAGATATTGACAAAATTAATTGGGCAATTTAATTTTTTACATAAACACGGTTGTGCAGAGTTTTGTGCGAAATTTCTGCATTGTACGAAGCAAATTCTTTAAAGTTTCAAGGGAATCCGTACAAACGATCTCTTGTAAAAAAAATTAAAATGTTCCATCAATGGGAAAATTGAGACGTTACGTGCAGGAAAGACACTTTTCGATTGCGGTGTTTCAGTATCTTCACTGCTGATTGGATCGCGTTAAACAGAGAGGAACCAAGCCACATTAGATATTGCCGAATTTAATTTGGCAGTTTGATTTTAAACATGAAAACGGTAATGCCGAGTTTTGTGCAAATTTCAGAGATTGTTCTGCATGGCACGAAGCAAATTCCTCAAAGTTTCAAAGGAATCCGCACAAACGTTCTCCAATCTCTTGTTAAAAAATTAAAATGCTAAATTTTGGTAATTGCTAGTGGCTTGAATAGTAGCTGCTAAACGCGGTCAAATTTATATTTAAGAGAAGAAACAATTTGGAGAATTTGCTGGAAGTTTTTGTTTAGAGCATTGTAAAATAATAGAAAAGTATTCAGTTAAATTTTCTACGAATCAACTCGCAAGTCGCTACCTCTAAGTGACGTAAGGAAAAACAAGAGTTTATTCATCCCCAAATGTTTCAGAAGTGAGGTCAACCGAAATTTTGGTCGATCGATTAAGTCTCTTTGGTTGATCTGACCAAAAAAGGTAACCCAAAGTAACTCAAAGGAACGTAAGCGCGGAAATGTTTAACGCATAAGGCGCAGAGCACTCGGGGGGTTGAACCGCGAAGCGGTCAGGGGGTGCACCCCGTAGTTTATCTAAAATCCTTTAAAATTAAATTATAAACAAGAGCACCGTAACTACCATAATCGGGAGCAGCTTTCAATTTCTTCTTGGAATTACCGTGGTTACGAACGTGCTTCATATATGGAAACACACGGCTTAAACATGGAATCTGTATCAATCATGAAATTTAATCTCCATTCTTTCATTAACTCAACCGATAGTAATGGGATTAGATACTCGATATCCACATAAATATGAGATGATGGAAAAAAACGGGAAGCTCACTGATATTTCGGCAGTGGAAAAATAACGCCGAAGAGGACAAAAAAATGACACGAGCGTTGTACGGAGCAGGAGCGGTCGTTAATTCGGTTTTTTTCACATTTTATTTTCACCTGGATTCATTTTTGGGAAGATGAGAGACCGAGGTGCTTTAAAATACAATTATATGAATAAATAAATGAAAGCTCGTGGACTTGATCGTAGCGTGGGAGCCCGCACGTTCCGTGCGCTTATAAAAACGTGTCGATATTTTTAATCACGAATCTCGTCCCTTATTCGATTTTATCCCTTCGTGCTCCGCTTGGAAAGCGCTTGCTTCCACTTGCCCCGATCCTATGATCGTCCGCAATTTCCTTTTGTTTCGCCACATGGCTTCGAATTTTTACCATGTACAGATACTTGGACCGCGTTCAGCTGAGAGGAACTAAAAAAAAAAAAAATAAAAAAAAAAAAAAAAAAAAAAAAAAAAAAAAAAAAAAAAAAAAAAAAAAATGAAGCCTTATTGATATGAGAGTAACGAAGAAATCACTCACTATTAACATCTCGTATAATGTGAATAGCTCTATCGAAAGAAACTCTTACATTAGCTGCATGAAGGATATTAATAATGACAATTTGAAAGGAGCGCTAGAAACTACGGTCATTTTTCTTGGCTCCTGGATCTAAAATGGGAAATAATTCAAATGAACCGCGTTAAGCCGGAAAGAACCAAGCCACATCAGCTACTGCCAAATTTAATAGGGAAATTTGATTTCTTACAAGAAAACGTTTTTGCGGATCCCTTCGGAAATTAAAAGGAATTTGCCTCATACTGTGCAGAAAACTCGATGAAATTTGTAGACAACTTCGCACAGCTGTTTTCGGGTGAAAATTAAAGTGCCCGATGAAATTCGGCAAAAGCTGATGTGGGTTAGTTCCTTTCTGCTTAACGCAGTTGAATTCAATCATTGCCTATTTTAGATTCGCGATTCAAGAAAAATGACCGTAGTTTCTAGCGCTTCATTCAAGTTGTCTTTTTATACTTTTCATTTTCTGTCTATTTTCTTCTTTTATTTGCCGCGAAGGCTTTCACTAGAATTTTTCTCTTTTCTCTCTATCTTCTTCAGAAAAAGAGGTTTAATTAGTTTAAGAAGCCTCTCACTCTTAAGGAGTCGTCTGTAAACAACAATTTTCGAACTGCTATTGAATGGTGAATAATTTTGAAATTGGAGCTCTTGGTTTTTTCCTACATTTTAAATTTATTTCTCCGAGCATATTTCACGAGTTACACATTCAAAAAGCACAATAATTGGATGAACGCCATCGAATATCCTTTTTCATCTCGCACAAGTTTAAAGAGAATTCAAAGACCGCAAAGCCATTCCTGAGGGGCCCCCCGGCCCCCAATCTGCCGCTTTCCCTCATCTGTATTTTCCGAGAGATAAAAGAAGTGGATGAATCATTTTTTGAATCCACCACAATGTATGCATCTACCAACAAAGGGGAATTACGAGTGAGGACCTATATGCTTCCTGAAGCCTCTTTAAAATACCCACTCTCCTCCCCCCGTTCCCGCACTTTTACCCCCGGTTCCTCTTTCATAGTTCCACCGATCACCACGGTAATGAAACTACCACCGGAGACGGCAATACGAGCTTCCTCTTCAGGGTTCCGCCCATGATTCAAAGGTTCATTGATCAATTGGACGTACTTCTATCAAAAGGAACTATGTGCATTAAGACATGAGCCCTGAGACCCATAAGAATACACGCATAACAGGGCGCATGTCTTGATGCACATAGTATCCCGTTTTACAGAAATACGTCTAATGGAGCCATGCAGGATCTAAAAGCCACAAGTTGCACTCTTCGTATTGTTAAAAGAAATCGTAAGGTATTGTGACTCGTTTTTGGTGCAATGGATTATTTAGGCACTAGAGCTAAAATTACGCATTGAGACCGAAGTTGTTAGGCCTGCAAAGAGCCATGCACAAAGTGGCCCATTTTTGGGCCCTCGAAATTGGGGTCGGAGTGAGGTTTTTTTTCATCCTTAGGGTGACCCTTTACACATACTAAAATTTCAGATTGAGTATACGCACCGTTTCCGAGTTATGGGGGGGGGGGGCAAAGTCCCCGATTTTCACCCATTTTTGCAGGTGTTTTAATGTCGAACACCGGCTGTTACGAGGTACCAGATCTAGATATTGAAGCGCAGTTTGCGGTGATTTGTCCAGCTATTCCTGTAGTATTTTTCCACATCTTTCACAAAGCCCCAAATGGTTTTTCGGGGAGGGGGGCTTTATTCATAATATCACGACCGTTAGCGCATCTTACTGACTTTACTTTGATCTCTTCTCTCCACGCCGCGGTCATGATGGTATTTTCTGTTGGGGATTTTTCTTCTTCTTTACATTTTACCAATTTTAGTGTCCTTCCCCCCCTTTTCCCCTTTTTACCCCCTCCCCCGCAATCCAAACACTTCATCTCAAGTGCTTCTTCCCGTGAGGCAGATGACAGGGTCATATGTGGGGGATTATTTTTCTTTCAGGACGATTGATAAACTTTGACCCAACTTACTTCTCCCTTACAAGGGTAAGGGCCCCCTTACCCCTGTATTACCCCCCCCCCTCTGGCCCGCTCCACTTTACTTGAAGCATTTTGCTCCCTCCGCAGGAGAAATGACGATGTTTTCTGTGAATAATTTTTTCTTATTCATATTTTTCACGTTTCTCTTTCCACTTCTATGTTTGATTTATTCTGTCCTAGGTACATTCTCTTCCGCTTTCTTCCAATTTTGAAGCACGAAAATTTACTTTTTCAACAGCAATTGACGCCTCACCAAAAATGTTTTAGGTAGATGAAAAATAAATAGTAAATAGATTAGATTTATTTACAGCATTCATAATACCTATCGCAAATGAATGGCGTATGAGCCTCAGTAGAAGTATTTCAGTACCTAAACATAAGTAAAAAATTATTTGCCAGAAACATCGTCATTTCTGCTGCGGAGGGAGCAAAATGCTTCAAGTAAAATGGAGCAGGCCAGAGGGGGGGGGGATAATACAGGGGTAAGGGGGCCCTTACCCCTGTAAGGGAGAAGTAAGTTGGGTCAAAGTTTATCAATCGTCC